AACTTCTTTCAGATTGTTGCAACTATGTCTAAAAATGCTTTGTCCACAGGGAACCAATAACTTCAGATAAAATCTACCAATTCTGCCCCCAAAGTGATCAAATATCTTAGAATGATGTCAGAATAATAATGTGGTCAGATAAAGGTTTGTTGTTGTAAAACAACATTTATACTTCTGAGAATATTTTAGAAATATTGTTTGGTCTGTTTGTACCTGTATGCATAATTTAATATAAAATTATCAATAATAAAGGCAGACTTTATAAATGTAGTCATAAAGACAGCTGTAGAGTCCAAACTACTTGCTCCTGCTACTCATAAACTGCTTCATAACTTTTTCAGAGAAGAAATGGGAATATTTCATCTAGATGAGCTATGAGAAGTTGTTTGTTTGCCTTTTGAAGAAAAAAGGGAGCTGCCAACCTGCTTTTGTGGGTTTTGAAATGTACTTCGAACTAAACGTTTTCATAAACCCAACAGTTATCAGTTCTCTCTCAAGTCCTTTGTGCACTGTCAAAAAAACAAAAACAAGACTATGAACTTTTCCAGTATTCGGTTAGTTAGATAAGAGGAGGAAATCATGCAACAGGAAACCTCAGCTGCATGGAATGCTAATATTAGTTCATAGGAAAAAACCTCAGAGAGGATGAGCTCTGTAAATCAAGCTGGGAAATAAAAAAGTTTCTAAGTAGACAAGCAGTGGCTCACTTGGACCAAGATGAAGCAGATAAAGATGCGTCTTCCCACATGATTACGCTTATCCCGGTGGTGGCGTGCCTCAGGGAGTAGCAGTGTCTCTACACCAAACAGCATAGCAGATGTCAAACAGTTTTTCCATCACTTTCTTTTTTTTTTAAACAGACTCCAAGCATATGGGTTGCATCCATTAGTGCAATTGACTGTATTTCTTTCAGCCTACCCTTTGCTCTGCTCTCTTGACTTTATACACAGCAACCCACTGTCAGAGGAGGGTTTCTAAACAGTCTGGACAGCGTCAGAGTGTTGGAGACAGAAATGCAAACTGCAGCTACAGTTCAACCACAAGACCCGAGTCTCACTCCCTATTATGTCAAGCTGTCCTCTCGCATTTGTGGATGTGCAAAACGTTGCGGTTGTCCCCCGGTGGCTGTGTCTCATTTTTCAGCGGTTTCCTTCAGATGGGATTAGCTTATTGCAGAGCTTGTTCGGCTTCAAACGGCTTCTTTCACAGAAATCAGGAAAAAAATATTTTTTTATTAACGTCTACAGGCTGTGTTACTCTATAGCCTGGGAGTCAGTAAATGAGACACCTGTTTGACTTCTCTCTGTTTCAGCCAGAACTCATTTGGAGCTCCGCAGCACTTCCATACCCCGCGGTAATAATGGAACACTTTAGTTGTTTCACAGACATGAAGGCGATCTTGCCATTCGAAGCAAAGACCAGCAAAATAAATCAGAGAATGCTCAAAAACACCCTGTAAAACCAATATCCATTGGCTGTAACCACATGTTGAAAATACATTTAGAGGCTGATCTTAAGAAGGTTTAATCTTCAGAAGCTGCAAAGTCATCTGAGTTTAAGAAGATGCTTTTCTGTTTGCGTGCGTGCCCTTATCAATACGAAGATCATGTTCTAATGTCCATAAAGTGCAAATTCATGGGTGCAAGGTGTGCAAATGTAAGTAGTTACAACATGCAACATGATTTTCCAAAATTTTATCTCAACCACAGCTGCAACTTTTGCATTTTTTATTTGTACTGCTAAAAGTCAAGTATAAACTGATGCAAAAATGTCTGCCATGATTTTGGCAACAAAGAAGTTATTGGTTCAAGCTAGAAGATGGAGATATAATGTGTGCATGTAAACATATTTGGACATAAGTCAGAAATAACAAAAGTAGATAATGAAAAAAAAAACATCTATGTAGGTGAGCATAAATTATTGCATCCATTCATCCGTCCAGGAAAGACTTTCCCCCATGTATTTTAAACATAACTGATCATCACTTTCACTACAAAATGTCAGAATGTTATTTTTTTTCTGTAGTAAGCTGCCAAAATTCGAGCTCAGGTTTTGTTTCTGGCCGTCACTGCCCTCCTGGCAAAGTTCTCCATCCTGTTTGCACTGCCAAAGGCACATTAGGATTTCTAATGGCAGACTTTCTGAGAAATCACTGTAATTCACAGTAAGTGCAGTTTCATTTCCAAAGAGGCTGGAACACGGTGTAAAAACATTTACAAAACAGAAGATATTAAAACCCTTTTGTTTTATTTGCTGCAGGGGAGAACAATAAATATATAATAAGGTGAAATTCAATTTTTTTGTGTCTTTTCATTGCTGTTTCACATAAAAGGAGTGCATTTGTAACTCCTAGAAACACCTCATTTGGAACAGACCCCTAACATTAAAAGTATCACAGAGAAGCTTTAGGAACGCAGCTCTTCCTGTCATTTAGTGAATGTTTCAAAGATGTCATGATCAGCAGTGTTTTGCATTTCTGTGTATTCCTAAGTTTGTATTTGTGTTAGTGCTTGCTATGATTTGGTAGTGATTAATTTGGGAGTTCTCTAATTTGCTCAGCCGTTTCTCTCCGTATGAGAGGAGATGCTGATCTGATCTTGATGTTCTCAGTATGCGTCTGATCCTCTGTTTTGCCACCAGCCTCTCATGTTGTTTTCCTGAATTCATTACCGTCAAAATAAACTCTGCTTGGGGGGAAAATATGAAAAACAAACAATCATTTACCTGATTGCATAAATGGGTACATCATTACACTGATACCTTATTCTTAAACCTTTAGATTTAATTTAGACAAACTTTATTCTTGAGTTCACATCTATGGAAGTTAGTCGGACTCCAAAATAAAATGACTCCTCCAATTCTTGATATTTTCTCATTTTCAATCTTGGTTGCAGAGAAATCAACAGTCTGAAGTATAATACTATAAATGTAGACGATGATTTAATAAAAATAGTTTTAATTAATTGTATAAAAATGTAAAAGCTTATACACATTATACAAAAGTCAAGAGCAATGCCTATTTTTCTTTTATAAAGAAAAATAGGTGTAACCATTAGAGATCAACCAATACAGTTTTATTAGGGCCAATGTCACAAACCGATTACTTTGACACCACTCTAACTGATCCCATCAATATATACTGCCGATATTTTTGGGGCAATTTTTAGAGCTGAAGTTTTTCTTTCCCAGTTTGTGTGATAAAAAAGAACAAAATCATAAATGCTACATAAAGCTGAATGTGAACTAAAAAGTAACATTTACTAGGAAATGAAACAATTATCGATAATTATTTATAGCAGGAAAACAAGAAAACTGTTTCTTCCAAAAATGTAATGTAATAGTCTGATGTAATGGTCTGTTTCTAATGACTATGTACAGAGAATCAGCAGTACTACCCTAAATGTCTAGGCTTAGGAGGGATTTTTCAAAACGACGGTCTTTTCTTCTAGAAAATCAAATATCCAGGCCTGGCTGAAAATTTTCAAGTGCTTTTGATAGTTTGATGCTCTGAAGACCCAAAACAACTGCTGTGCCAAAAGTCCAAAATGTAGCCAGCTAAATTAAGGAGATCTCCAAGACAACACAATGTCTATTTGGAAACATGGTGGTGGTAGTAGCAACGTAATTAGAGGTTAGTCTTCTACAAAATGAATCTTTTTTGTCAGTGTGAACTGCGATGGACTGGCAACCTGTCCAGGGTGTACCCCGCCTCTCGCCCATTGACAGCGACATATATTTTTTTTATGTTCTTTTTGTTTCTGCATTTTCTATTTATTTTTTTCCTACTTGCTTTGATTCTGTTTTATTATCCTATATTTTAATCATATAAAGCACTTTGCATTGTCTTTGTACTGAATTGCCTTAGCTGCAACAGCACCCCTATAAGCGTGATGGAAAATAGATGGATGGATGTCAATGTGAATGACTAGCTCGACAAATGACCACAGATATCTGCTACAACACAGAAGTCAAAGATGGACATTATTTCTTTAGCTTCATAATAACTCCCCCATCAAAAAATCAAAAACAAAATCATCACTTCACCAGAGGAAGAGTCCCCAACTACTTCAGACAGAACATCAGTGCAGTGACCCAAAGTGTGTTTTGGACAAGAGCTATCCTCACCATCTGATTGATTTGGATTCCTTTCAAAGGCAGAGCTGTGCAATATTAATTAGGCAAGCTGTTGCAAACTGATGGACTCCTACTAGCAAATACTAGATGCTAAAGTTAAGTCCAAAGGTGTTAATGTAAAGTTTTAGTTTAAGGGTGGGCATACTTATTCAGAAAGGCTGTTGCACCTTTTTATTTTTTACTGTTTAGAGGGTTTTTTTCTACTATGTTAAAAGTTATAGATAAAAATTGTGTCAATTACTCTAAGCTTTCATTTTCCCTGCTTCTTTTTCAGTCTTTCATCCTAGATTTACCAGTAAATAAGCAGGGATTAATCAGTCTCTTAGAAGTCAGTCCTTGCCAGCAGTCAGCTCACTGTTTAGTCAGAGATCTTAGCTTCTGCTCTGTGTGCGTGGAGGACTGTCAACAGTTGGGGGTGGTTTTAGAAACTCATTAGCCTGCAGCTTATTAAGACTTGTAGAGTATCATGATAATAGCTTGAAACGCAGTAGCAGTTGAGCTGTAGTGTCCTCTCCCATTATACACCTATAAGGAGCTCTGTGTGTGTGCATGTTTGCTCATAATCTGCTCAGTTTCCTTCAATCTCCTCAGCTTAATACTGTTCACTGTCACTGTGCAGCAGTGATAGCATAGGTTAGCCTGCAGCCAAAGCAAGCCAGACATATAGAGGCACTGGTTTAGTGTGGGCATAAAAATAGGGTTTTCATTAAAAGGATAAAAACATTGCAGAATGGCTTTCCTACATAGCTGCATTATGCTTATTTCTGCTCTGCCTTCAAAAACATCAGCATATGAGCTTTTCTCCACATTGTTTTTTAAATGCATTCATTTTTTTTCTTTCTTTTATGTCTCTGTTGTCATTATAGCAACAGCATTGCAGCCTCTGCAGTGTGTGCCTTCAACCTGAGCGCCATCACCCAAGCCTTCAATGGGCCCTTCCGCTCCCAGGAGAATCCCCGCTCCACCTGGCTTCCCACACCCAACCCCATCCACAACTTTCAGGTGGGTTTCGCCACACAGTCTCTTCATGGCTGAACGATACTCTTAATTAGCTGTAATGTTTAAAGTTACAGAACTATCATAGATTGTTTTCAGTTCTGTTAATTTGATCTCAGTCATAGACAGAAATCTGTCAAGTGGGATGTGATTCTGTATTCAGCCTACTAATACTTTGCACAATATTTTGCTGGAATTACAGCTTAAGTTTTCTCCCCATGTTGTTTGCAACTTTGCAGGTTGAGAGACTGAAATTATTAATAATTATTATCTTCTGTGCAAGTTAGCAGAAACTCTTAAAGATTGGAGGAAAACCATATATAAACTGTATGTTTTAAGCTTTCTCAAAGATTTGCTTAATTTGTCTGGAGTTTAATTGGACAAAAACAGGAATGCTTTGCTCAAACTATACCTACTCATATTACCTTCGAAAAATACATTTCCACCCGTTTCTCAAGTCTTTTTCAGACTTCAGTGTATAATCCTTCCAGATCTGCTCTGTATTTTCCCATTTATCCAGAATACTGGTGTATTCTCTCTATACCATCTGGTGTGTCACTGCTAGTCTGTGTTTATACTAAGATTGAACTGCACAGTTTTGCAACTTCCAAAGCCAACTTGTTGCACGGAATTTGTTTTAAGGCAATTGATGTTAAGTGGGATGCATTTAAATGCATGTTTGCAGCTATTTAGTGATTAAATATTTAAAAACCATTTACTGTATGATTTTTCTTCCACTTGAATAACTTTTTTTTTGGTCTATCACATAAAATCACAATTAAAATGCTCAAACAGGATGTCTGTGAACCAAATATCCAACTTTTTGTCAATAATTCTATCTATGCATTTACTTTTCAAAATCTAAAATCTTTTTACTTTGTTGTACACTTTGAATACAACTGGGAGTTTAATTATTAAGTATATAATGTTTAAATTATAGAATTATTTAATCAAAATACCATATGTCTAAAAACATCTACTCACTGTTTTGGTAGAGAGAGTGCTTATGAAAAGTTTAATCGAGCTAAAGTAGCTGTGTTAGATTTTAATTAACAGTATCATCAAAATTGGAGTAATTAGTTAGATTTCTTCTTTACTGAAAAAATAGCACCATTGCTTACATCATTATTATGTAATGTTGTTACTCCCAAAACTGTAAATGAAAATATTATTTTATTCCTGCAACGGTCAGTTTGGGTAAAATCCTTGCCAAAAAGGAAAAGGTGAGGAAGAGTGTGTTAACGCTCAAGTTTTAGTCCTAAAAATATGTGTTTGAGCACAAATTTATATATAGATATATGTGTAATTGAATTCATTGTATTTCTATAGCACCAACTCAGAACACATGTCATCCCAAGGCAATTTACAGTTCACCAGATCATCCAGTCAAATTGATTCAAAGTTTCTATCTAAGGAAAACCAGTTGATTGCATCGGCTTGAATCCCTCACACAAAGCATGCTTGTAGCGACAGTGGAAGAGTAATGTCAGCTGTATCAGAACATCTGATGTAGTTTAAGACTGAATAATATTACCTGTTTATTTTAAAGAAATAAATGATATAAAAGCAATAGCTCATGAATATATATGCAGAAAACAAGAGCAGCAGCTGAGATGGGTGATTTCTGTTTTTGCAATGCTTCTTGTTTTAGAGAGTTTCTTGCTCAGGCACACATGGCTGACATGAATGGGTCATTAGTAGGCTCCTGCAGAACTGGGGGAGATAATTTAACTGATTGAATCAGATGAAATTGAGGGGACACATTTAAAATGTGCAGGACACCAGTCTCTGAGGAGTGGGATCAACGGGTCAGGCTGATGACAGTAATCAATCATTCCCACACGCGGCAATTACTCTAAATCAACTTGATATAAATGTAATGATTTAATATGACATCTCAAATTGGTATGGATAGAGCAATGAGTCCAGCTTTAGTTTCGTTTTTTGTTTTTTTTATGCAGGGATGCAGCTTTTGAAAATTAAGGTCAAGAAAATAAAAGATATGAGACCTACTTAAGAAATACTGAATATCAGTTTGTTAATTGTTTGACTAGCAGGTTCAGTTTCTCACCATGAATGTGACAAAAGTTACTGATAAACACGTTTTTGTTAAATTACTGGAATTGGAAGAAAATATATTTATTGCATTGCTGGTGTAGCATGAAATAGGAACCTTAAATTAACTCTGAGATTTCTGATCATCCAACATTTTCAAATCTAAATGTCTCATCATAGGCAGAGGAAAAACCTCTACGATATTATTGCTCTACTCTGTTCAATACTCCTTACATCTACCTCCTCTTGCTATCTTCTGCCTGATAGCATCCCAGAAAGGACTGTAACAGTTAATCAGATTAATCACGATTAATCAATTATTGAAATAATCTTCAACTAATTTAGTAATTGGTTAATCGTAACTAGAGTATAGAAACTTTAAAACATGCCTTTAGCTGACAGAGCGACCCACTTGGAGTAGTAATTATCTAAACAAAAATATGTCAACAATTTGCATTTAAGATAAAAAAATATATAATCTTTTTCATCTGCCCATATGATCTACTCAGAACGCGTAAAGTTGAAATGTTTTAGTTTCACAAGGTTTAATTTCATAAAAAAAACTTCTTAAAGGAACCTTTGGCTATCCAATTATTAATCGATTAAATGAAAAAATAACCACCAGATTAATCTATAATAGCTAGTTGCAGCCCTAATTCCATTCATCTCCTTACTTGTTCTAGAAAGTCCTGCTCACTTTAAGATTGTTTAAAATACAGTTAAACCATGGGAAAACATTTGAGGCTAACATCAAGAACATGGTTTGATAGTTTCATGTTTTAAATGAATGATGTTTTGCTCCTTTTTTCATTCATATTAGCATTCTAAATTTCCCTCCGTAGTGTGGTACCATAAATGACAAAGGCCCCAATGAGGGTTTGACTGAGCGCAGCCTCCAGGACGCACAGCGGCTTTACCTGATGAACGACGTTGTCCAGCCTGAGTCTGTCGATCCTCTGGTCATGCAAGATGATGTCCGCTTTTCAAACCTTGTTGTGGACATTGTTCAAGGAATGGACACTCTTTACCACGTTATGTACATCAGCACAGGTTAGGTTTGCCTCAGGTAGAAATGTTGCCACTCTATATCCATTGGCCTTGAAGAAAAAGTGCATTTTAACAGAGATCTTCCTGTTTTTAACTAGAATACGGCACCATCCTGAAGGCTCTTGCAACGCCTAACAAAAACCTGCAGGGTTGTTACCTGGAGGAGATGGAGCTCCAGCCAACTGGTGTCCGGGAACCCATCCTGAGCCTACAGATCCTGCACAGCGACAGGTCACTCTTTGTTGGCCTCAAAGACAAAGTCCTGAAGATCCCCCTTGAGAGATGTTCCTCCTATGAAACTGAGACGTGAGTAAAACATCAAATGTGAACGTGCAGCGAAAAAGTGTCCATAGATTGACTTGTTTTTGGGACCGACTTTGTGTCGCCCTGCAACACATCAACATACTTCAGAGCCTAACTCACTTTACCCTCACTATAACATCAACTTGAAGGCACACACTGATAACTGCTTATAGTTATAATTTTCGAAAGGAAAAAGTCATGGTCTTGCTCGGAACAATGCTCTTTACTCCAGTGAATAATATATATTGAAATTATATATTAAAAAATAAATAGAAACTAATATGCAGGTAAAAAAAGTGGAATGCAGCACACACTTTTTATGTCATGAGCTGAGTCTGAATGTTCGCCCTAGTCACTATATAAGACACTATATTGGTTATGCCATTTTAAATGAGTGTCGTAAGGTCTAGTGGATGAAAAAGTAGAGGACTCGAAATTTCCCACAATACACCTTGAAAAGTAGTGATCATCCATGGTCACTAGACGAGCAGATATATCCTGGAATGCTTTGCGAGGAGAGCTCTCCTCGCAAAGCACTTGTTGTCACAGCGGCCTGCTGTCGCCTACGGGTGTCAGGCACTGCGCGATGGAGGCGCAGTCACATGACCAACAGGGAGTGAAAAGTAGGAATCATCTATCCGAACTGTCATTTAACTGAGTTCACTATGAAGTCCACTATATAGTCCCCACTCTATATAGTGATTGAGGGATTTAGGGGTTAGGAACGACGTTCGGACACAGCCATAGTCTATTGTTTAGTTGTTAGGGATGTGTAGTGTTCATATTTTGGCAGATATGGTATTAATGTGTGTTCCTGAGGAATCAAAGTCAGTATAAATGCAGGGGTGGAGTCTTGACTCATAGCACTTGGCAAAGAATCAGAGTTAAGTCATTGATTTTATGACTTTAGACCGTCTCTATGTCTTTCCCCACTGTAAACCAATGTGTGTGTAAGTTGCCAATGAAATTAACCAAATAAAAAAAAAAGAATTACATATAAGCTCCCAAGAGTAATTACGTTACAGATACTTGACATAATACCAAGTGCAATAACATACTAAGAAAGTCAGAGATGGAAACGAAACAACTTACATGTTTGTCTGAATTGAAGGTGCTGAAAGAACAGCCAGTACTCCTGTTTTTGCTGGGATGAGATAGCTGACTTTAGGTAACCTCATTTCGTAACAAATGTTCAATTGAACCGGTTTTCATATGTGTTATTTTAACAAACAACACATGGTCAATTATTTACAATCAAAATATAATTTAACTTATTATACAGACCTGATTGAACTTGAAATATGAAGCTCCAGACTTGTGACTTCACTTATCTGTCTGGACTTGAGACTCTACTATGAATTTACTTGAGGCTTGACGGCAAAAACTTGACACTTACTTGAAAGAAACAATGACCTGGTCCCACCTCTGCTTATTGGCAAATTAGAAAGTTTTATGCAATACTTTACTTTTTTTTTTTTTACTTAACATATTTGTGATTGATCCTTATGAACTAATACACATTTTTCCAGAATACGTGCTTTTTGTACCAGTTAACATCATCTTAAACACAAGGCTTCTTTAACGGAAGCAGATGAAGATGATGATGATGTGGTTTCCCTGAGCATGTTGCTGGCTGTAGATAAAAACATGCTATAGGTACCGAATGAATGTGTAAAATTGTACCCCCTTTAGCCTTGAGAAAAAATGACCCCTAACCAGATGCTTCCCCAGTTTAAAAGTATTCCCTCAAGCCCTTACTTTTAGCCATGATTGTTTCCTGTAGCAGTTACTTATGATGTCATCACGCTCTTGTGCGTGCAATGCAGTGTTCATTTTTGTTGAGAACTAGTCTGACCTGAATTTTTCAGTTGCTTATTAAATGAAATGTGCATTTACCATGTTTTCTGTTCTGAGTTTTTATCCCAGGCTGAATTGATTACTGTATTTATTGCTCGTTCAATCAGTTCTTCTCAGTGCATTCCTTTATACCATGGCTTCATTGGAGCTGTTTTTCCTTTTTCATTACTTTTGATTCTGCTCATGATTCCCATTCCTCCCACTTGACCTTCAAATTCCAATTCAGCTTTCCCTAAAGCAATCCCTCTTCACCATTATCTTCCCCGCCACCTGTCAAGATTTGGGTGTTCCAACATTAAACTTGGCAGAACCAAAAGGGCCATCATAAGATTTTTGGTGAAATCTAAAGTTTTTAGGAATGAAAATCCTGCTGGATTATTATTAATATAAATATTTTTATTTTATTTTGATGTTTTGACATTTTTAAAATCATTTATCATTCTTAATAAATGTTAAACTAGCAAGGTGGTCCTGGGTTAAAACCCCAGGTCTGTGGTATTTCTACACAGAGTTTGCATATTCATCGCATGCATGTGTTGGTTCTCTCCAGGTACTTCGTCTTCCTCCCGAAGTCCAGACCATACATGTTAGGTTAATTGGTTTCTCTAAACTGCCTTATAGTGTGGTAGTGTTCTATTTGACCTGTATGTCTGTCTGTTGCTCTGTGAAGGACTGGTGACCTGTTTGCAGTTGTAGCCTCTACATGAATAAGCTGGTATACACAGGGATGAATTAGTAGGAAGATAACTACTGTACCACATTTCCACTTCCTATCTAACTGTTAGCACTACTGAGGACCTTTAACATCTTTTTGCATTAGACCCAGTTGACACAATATACTAAGACTTAAAATCTTGGCTTAGCTAAACTGTTTGCAACTCACCCTGCTGCTCTCTTTCCACAGTGGGTGTTCTAAATCTTGTTTGATGCATTTGGGCAGTTGATTTATTTTAACCTGTTTGGTCTACAGCTGCAGGCAATTATCTGTCCACAACAGGGATTAATGCCTGCAAGAAATCACCGATAATCATTAAAGTCCTATGGTACCAGACAAATGACGAGGGCGGTATCTCCTTCTGCTCGTTAGGGAGAATAAATTAGAAATAAATTTGTTGTGCTTTTTGCTGTAATGAAGTCCAGCAAAGTACAAAGACAATACTTTTTTTTTATATGCAGAAAAGTAAGAAAAGAAAAAAAGTGGATAAAGTTACTGCTCTGACTGATAAACTTGTCTTCTCACATTCAAAGGAATTATTTCTGCAGTGCAAGGGTAAGATGACTTCAGCCTTACTGTTATTTATATGAAAATTTCTCTGCTGCAGAAGAGCAGGGAGGAGGTGAAAAGCTCGCTGGCTGTTTGTCCAACCTTCTGTGTCTCATCAGCTCACTTGATCAGGATCTAAGCTAGCCACAAAGCCCTTTCAAAATCGCCTTTGTTTTAGCATACAAATAGCTAGATGCTACATCCGCTCCATGTATATGTTTGTGTGTTTAGAAAAGGAGGTCTACCAGATTTGTATGCAGGTTGGTCCCATGTTGCCATTTCTTTAAACTCTTAAACAGGGTAACAGCCGTTCATACCCTTTGAATTCATAAGCAACATCCAAAAGATTAGAGGCAGAGACCTAGAAACACAGCAATAAAGACACAAAGAGCATTAAAAACAAAAAGAAACATAGAACCTTTTCAAGATAAAACGTTCTAAGACAAAAAAAACAAAACAGTGAATCCCAGAGGTAATAAGAAAAGGCGGAAGAGAAGGAGGGCGCAGGAAGGACAGAATGCCCCCAATCTACTTTGCACAATTCACCTCACCCCCATGGATCACTTACACTTACAATTTTTAAATGTGCTGCAGCTCAAGGCACGCTGAGCTCCACAGAACAGCAGATGCAAACCCGCCGATCAAGGTGATCTCACTCAGCTAGACTCAGGAAAAGTAGAGAAAACAAGATGGATGGTTCGAAATAAAGAAAGAAAAAGTGAAGGAATGGATCTGCATATAAAGCACTGTGCAAAACTATTAATACCCCTCGAATATTGATATTTAGCTCCTTCTTCTGATCTACAAAAATGCTTTGTAAAGAAAACAGTCGTTGAAAGCATTATCTGCAGAATGAAACAAGGTGAGGCAGCATGCTGTGGGGATAACATTAACCAGGGGCAGGAGATTTTTATGTATAATAAGGAGATGATTGAATTTAGATGCAAGACATTTTTTAGAACACTAGTCAAAGGTTTAGTAGAATTTAGACTGCTATAAAGGTTTCCCTTCCTAACAGTACAGTAACCCTAAATATACATCAGAACAAAAGGTATTGATGTGTAAATCTGGCCCAGTCAAAGCCCAGATCAAAAGTTTTGGCCAAACTGATGTAAATAAGCACATTTCACCTACAGTAATCTATATAATATGAAGCAATTTTGAAAAGAGACGTAGCGTAGCTCAATGCGACATAACCCAAAGGACTTGCAGCTGGAATTGCAGTAAATTTTAATATGACAAAATATTGACTCAGGAAGGATAAATACAAATTCACATCACAGTTTTCTAAACTTAAGTTTAATAAGTGTGTCATTACAACATGAGAAGTTGTGAAAAGGTAAAATATAAAAACTTTTTAAAAGGATGTTAACTTTTATTTATATTTATTAAGCTTTATTTTTCAATTATCCTGAAATAAAATCTTTAGCTGGTAAAATATTGAAAAAATATTAATTTTCTTTTAGCAAAAATGTTAACGTTTTTTGGGGTTTTTTTTGTTACATATCTCCCACACTCCCCCTCAGCTATAGTGACAGGTTCTAGTCATATATTTTCCTATTACCTCCAGCTTCCTAATATTTTTTGGCTTAAGCTACTTTTCTTTCCACCTGCTCACCCTCACCTTCCTGCTCCACACATATGTTCTATGACTAATGTTTAGTCTCCTCCCTTTGCCATACTGTATCTGCTCCATGCAATTCTTTGAAGCACGCACCAGAGTCCTGCTGTGTGAAATCCACATGTGCTTGCAGACTGTGGTGGAGTAGTGCAGAAACACAGAAACACAGCTGACTGAAGAGCCACAGTGTAGGCGCAGCGAGCAGATGATTGACGCACACAAACACACCTACGCTCCCGACCAGAGTAGACAGAGCAGCAG